CCTTCCAAAGCATGAAAGAAAATGCTGAAAACATAAAGGGTGACAGATTGGACTACAAAAAGTTAAAAACATACAAAGTTAGAATGCAAATGAAAAATGGGAAAAACATTTACCAATGGTAAGACGAAGAATAATAACCTTAACATATAAAGAGTTATTTCAACACCAAAAGAGAAAAATGCACACTTCCATATAAAAATGAGCAAAGGACATGAATAGGGCAATAAACACTTTTTTTAATCATTCAGTATCCTTCAACAAATCATAGCTTTAAAAAATAGGGTAGAGGCTGCTCTGCCTATGGAGTAGCCATTCTTTATTCCTTTACTTTCTTTTTTTTTTGGGAGGGACAGAGTCTTGCTCTATCATCCAGGCTGGACTACCATGGCACAATCTCAGCTCACTGCAACCTTCGCCTCCCAGGTTCAAGTGATTCCCCCGCCTCAGACTTCTGAGTAGCTGGGATTACAGGCACTCACCACCACACCCAGCTAATTTTTGCATTTTTAGTGGAGACAAGATCTCACTGTGTTGGCCAGGCTAGTCTCGAACTCCTGACCTCAGGTGATCAACCCGCCTCTGCCTCCCAGTGCTGGGATTACAGGTGTGAGCCACTACGCCCTGCCTTCCTTTACTTAATAAATCTGCTTTCACAAAAAAAAAAAAAAAAAAAGTAGGGTGGAAGTAGGGGACCTCAGAGATAGAACAATCAATGAATGGACATTCCCAAACCCAGGTTCAAGCAAACCAAATGTAAAACTGCAAAACGACATGTTTGAGAAAAATGGTGAAACTATGAACAGGTTATTGGACATAAATAGGAATTCATGTCACTATTACTAGATGTGATAATGATATGGTAATTGTGTAAGATAATGTTCTGTTTTTTTATGTAAATGTTTCAAAGTAAAAAAAAAAAAAATAGAAAAAAGTAGAATTAAAATAAAGAAAATGTCCTGTTTTAACAAGATGCATGCTGAAGAATCCAGGATAAAATGTCAGGACATCTAGAATATACTTTAAAATACTTCTTAGTGAAAGGCCAGGAGATCAGAGCAAAAGAGTAAAAAATAAGAAAATAAAAATAATTCATCCAAAAAGAAAAAGAAAAAGCAAATCCATCATAATGTTGATAGTTATCAAATAGGGAAAAAAAGGTGTTTTTTTTTTTTACAAGTAATATCCAATATATGCCAAGGTACAATACAGACCAGCAATTTCAGCCACTGCTGATAGGAAGGTAAATTGTACAGGTCTCTTAAGTATCCTTTATTTGAAATGCTTGGGACTGGAAGTGTTTCAGATTTCAGATTTTTTCAGATTTTGGTACATCTGCACATACATAATAAGATATCTTGGGCCAGATGCGGTGGTTCATGCCTGTAATCCCAGCACTTTGGAAGGCCAAAGTGGGCAGATCACTTGAGGTCAGAAGTTTGAGACCAGTCTGGCCAACATGGTGAAACCCCGTTTCTACTAAAAATACAAAAATTAGCTGCGCGTGGTGGCAGGCACCTGTCATAATCCTAGCTACCTGGGAGCTTGAGGCAGGAGAATCTCTTGAACCCAGGAGACAGGGGTGGCAGTAAGCTGAGATCGCGCCACTGCACTCCAGCCTGAGAGACAGAGCAAGACCCTGTCTCAAAAAAAAAAAAAAAAAGAAAGAAAAATCTTCTGATGCGTGTTACAACATGAATAAGCCTTGAGGACATTATGCTGACTGAAATAAGCCAGTCATAAAAGGACAAATACTGTATGGTTCCACTAACATAAGCTACCTGGAAAAGTCAAACTCACAGAAGCGGAAAGTAGAGGGGTAGCTCAGGGCTTGGTGTGACGGGAGGAGAGGCAGTCATGGTTTAATGGGCACGGAATTTGAGTTTCGCAAGGTGAAAGGAGTTCCGGAGATGGATGGTGGTGAAGGCTGTACAACAAGGTGAATGTACTTAACACTACTAAACTGTGCACCTAAAACTTATTAACGTGATTAATTTTACATCATGTGTATTTTATCACAACTAAAAATAAACATAGGCCAGGCACGGTGGCTCACACCCGTAATAACCCAGCACTTTGGGAGGCCGGGGCGCGCGGATCACAAGGTCAGGAGATCGAGACCAGCCTGGCCAACATAATGAAACCCTGTCTCTACTAAAAATACAAAAATTAGCCGGGCATGGTGGTGGGCGCTTGTAGTCCCAGCTACTCGGGAGGCTGTGGCAGGAGAATTGCTTGAACCCAGGAGGCGAAGGTTGTGGTGAGCCGAGATCGCGCCACTGCACTTCAGCCTGGGCAAGAGAGCAAGACTTCATCTCAGAAAATAAATAAATAAAAACAAAGATATATTGATATATTTTTAAAGAGAAAAAGGCATATTGCAAAATATGTTCATGTATAACCTCAATTTAGTTTCACTGATGTCATAAACATCAATATATGTCTACAAACATAAAAGAAGATCAGAACAAGGATCTGAGGGGAAAAAACTATTTAAAAGATAAAATTAAAAAGCTCAAAAATGTATACGTCAAAATGTTAACAATAGTCAGGAATAGTGATGCACGCCTGTGGTTCCAGCTACTCCAGAGGCTGAGGCGGAAGATGGCTTGAGGCTGGGAGTGTGAGGCTACAGTGAGCTGTGACCGTGCCTGTAAACAGCCACTACACTCCAGCCTGAGCAATACAGCGAGATCCCATCTCAATTTAAAAATTAATTAATTGGCCAGACGCAGTGGCTCACATCTGTAATCCCAGCACTTTGGAAGGCCAAGGCAGGCGGATCACTTGAGCTCAGTAGTTCCAGACCATCCTGGCAACATAGTGAGACCTACTCTCTACTAAAAATATGAAATACAGCCAGGCCATGGTGATGTGTGCCTGCAGTCCCAGCTACTAGGGGGTGAGGGCTGAGGTGGGAGGATCACTTGAGCCCAGGAGCAGAGGCTGTGGTGAGCCGAGATCGCACCACCGCACTCCAGCCTGAGTGACAAAGTGAGAAACCTGTCTCAAAAAATAAATAAATAAAATATAAAAATAAAAAGTAATTAATTAAAGTAAAATCCCTCTTTTTTTTTTTTTTTTGAGACTTGCTCTGTCACCCAGGGTGGAATGCAATGGTGCAATCTCGGCTCACTGGAACCTCCACCCCCCAGGTTCAAGCGATTCTCCTGTCCCAGCATCCTGAGTAGCCAGGATTACAGAACCCACCACCATCCCCGGGTAATTTTTGTATTTTTTTAAGTAGAAACAGGGTTTTGCCATATTGGCTAGGCTGGTCACAAACTCCTGACCTCAGGTGATCCACCCGCCTCAGCCTCCCAAAGTACTGGGATTACAGGCATGAGCCACCGCGCCCGGCCATAAAATTGCTTTTAAAAAAATATTAAGAATAACTATCAGGCTGGGCGCAGTGGCTCACGCCTGTAATCCCAACACTTTGGGAGGACGAGGCAGGCAGATCACCTGAGGTCAGGAGTTCAAGACCAGCCTGGCCAACATGGTGAACCCTCATGTCTACTAAAAATACAAAAATTAGCTGGGAATGGTGGCACGCATCTGTAATCCCAGCTACTTGGGAGGCTGAGGTAGTAGGGTCGCTTGAACCTGGGAGGCGGAGGTTGCAGTAAGCCAAGATTGTGCCACTACACTCCAGCCTGGGCAACAGAGTAAGACTCCATCTCAAAAAAAAAAAAAAAAAGAAAAGAAAGAAAAGAAAAAACAGTACAGTTACTATTACTGGGTGCTGCGCTTATGGGCAAATTTTGTTTTCTTTGTGTATCCATGTGCTTTTCTGTAGCTCACAATTTCTCCGAGGACTTTTGCTAACTGAAAGCAAAAGCATATTGGCTGGGCAAATGAAGAAGAAAAAAGGACCCTCATGCCGGTTGTTGCATCCTAATGTGAGGCTATCCACAAGTAGATTTCCAAATACTGAAATAAATAGAATTCTCCCTGATGATCAAATTACAAAAGGCTGGCTAGGGTTTGGGAAAATAAACACCAACTCAGAAGACAAAGCAATCAGGGAGTTCTCTGCAGGATTAAAGTGGAGGCACATCTCTGATTTTAAACAGTTCCTTGGGCCAGAATGGGTTCAGCACATCTCCATGTGCCCAGCAGAAAAGACAAGACCAGAGGAGGCTCAAAGACCTTTCAAGTGGCCCATTGCTTAAAAGGACAGGCTTGGAGAGAAAAGAAAGACTCTTACATGAATGCAACACGCTCGCTAGGACGCAGTGCTCCCTGCCCCCCACTTCTCTCTTAAGCTACATCCACTTTCAGAAAACACTTTCTAGACATCAAGAGAAAAAGGAGCCTTTCTTAACATGCCATTCATTCACCACATATGGTACCGCTCTGAATAGAGGCCTTATGAAGGAGGATCCAATACCACTGCCACAGGCCATGCCACTGACCACAAACAGCAATAAATAGATGAGGATTTATATGTCTGTGACGTAGAGGCACGTTGGCTAATTCAGATGGCGCGTCCATCACGTTCCAACATCCAGTAAATGTTTACTGAGTGCCAAGTAAGCACAGGGCACTATTTGTAAAACTATCCCAGACACACACGTGCACACAAGCATGCATACACACACATATATGTATATACACAGCTCCTTTGTTCTGTTTTAGGGCTGAGGCTAGAAAAGCAATGATTTAGACTAGAGGCATTTGACAGTTTCATTCAACATATCACACATCTCCTGCAACGGGAAGAGCAGCAAAGGCAGACAGAAAGTTTCCAGTCCCTAAGGAAGGGTCAAGGGCAACACACCACTGCATCCCATTGCTAGAGGCCCTGGACAAAGAGGGCTAAACCCTGCAGTGGAGGCAGAGAGGAGCCCTCAGCCTTCCTAAAACTCCAAATTCAGCACCCAAGGAGAACAGAGGTACCGCAGCCCCAGTCCTGCGGGAAAGTGCAACACCAGGTTGATGTGCCAGGTCCTCCCATCCCCATCAATGAATCACGTCGGCACCCCCTTCATCATACGTACTTTTGCCCCCATTGTTCTTCAAGACATTGGAGAGGTTGACAGACGCGGTGCCTAGCAGTTCATTTCTCAAGGTATGGCAGCTCCAGACCTTTAAATCTAAATGACTCTGGGCCGTGACATTCCTGGAAAACAAATACCGGATTCATTACATCCAAGCAGATCATTCCTATAACTTAGAAGAAAACATTTAAACTAAACTGCTGACATCTTGGGGAGGGGGAACCAAAACAGGCAGACACCCACATATTTCCTTTCCCCCACAAAAGCTGACCCTGTAACCCTCTAGCTAATAATGAACGCTCTATGAGCTCAATGGTGCAGGAATGCCTAAAGAGAGGCACCTTGGGTACCATAGGCAGAAAAAGTAGGAGGTACCACCGGGAATCTGTACCTCCTACAACCCCCTCGGAGCACCCTCTCTCTTTCCCCACCTTGCTGCATTCAAAAAGAATGGGCTTTCTCTTACAAAATGATGATCTCATTCCAGAGAAGCTCAGAGCTCCCAATGCGCTTCGCAGTCTTCTTGGTCTCGCTGGCGAGTCCATCCACCGCCACCTCCACGTAGGAGTTAATTCGAGGTTGACGATTATGCACCTTGGGCTTTGCGGACACCACTGGGAAAGAAAGAAAAAGTCAAAGATGAGTCCCAGGGCTCCCAGATGCCCCCCTGTGGCAGATGTTCTGACTCTTTTTCGTTATTTCTTTAAAAAATAAATCAATACTTTTTTTTTGTCTTGATTCTAAAAACTTTTTAAAGAAACGTGAATACACACACTAAAAAAATATGAAGTGTAAGAAAAAAAAAAAAATCATCCCTAACCTGATACCACTGGGATAATTGCTGGTGACCATCATTACCAATTCATCATAAACTGCCCTCCAGATTTTCATCTCTTACTGCTTGAATTCTTTAAAAATTCTTTGCCCCCATAAGTCACTCTTAAATGACTGCAATATAAGCTCATAATAGGTATATGTTAACTATTCTTTCATTGTCGAATAGAATGCTTGCAATTGTTCGCTCTGGGGAAATTATCATGAACACACACATCTGCATGCCTTTCTTGAATATTCCTCCAAAGGATATGAACACTTTTTAAAGTTCTTAAAACTGCCCATTCCTTTCCAAGAAAGGTAAAACCCATTGAGCCTCCCATCAGTGCTACAGGAGTATATTCATTTCACCAGACATCACAGAGTGCTAAGGGATATGCTTGTTCACTTTTTGCAAATTACATGAGTTAAAAACGCATAGTGTAAAGATTACAGCTAAGGCCGGGCATGATGGCTTATGCCTAGCACCCCAGCACTTTGAGAGGCCCAGGTGGGAGGACTGCTTCAGCCCAAGAGTTCAAGACCAGCCTGGGAACATAACAAAATTTATAATTTTTTCTTTTTTTTCTGAGATAGAGTTTCGCTCTTGTTGCCCAGGCTGGAGTGTAATGCCGTGATCTCAGCTCACGGCAACCTCTGCCTCCCAGGTTCAAGCAAGTCTCCTGCCTCAGCCTCCTGAGTAGCTGGGATTACAAGTGCCCGCCACCATGCCTAGCTAATTTTTTGTATTTTTTAGTAGAGAAGGAGTTTCACCATGTTGGCCAGGCTGGTCTCGAACTCCTGACCTCAGATGATCTGCCTACCTCAGCTTCCCAAAGTGCTGGGATTACAGGTGTGAGCCACCACACCTGGCCAATTTATAAATTTTAATGGAAATAAATAAAGATAATATTTAAGATTTTATGAGTACTCATTAAAGACCCTCTGCCATGTGCACACATTACCTAACTGAATCCTCACAACAAACCCATGAGGCAGGGAATATACCATCGCCCCATTTTACCCAGGAGAAAACAGACTTGAGAGGCGAGGTCACTGCCCCAGGCTACATAGCCAGGGAGCTACAAGCCACACTGGGCACCCAGCTGGCCTGATTCCACACCATGCTGCATATCATTATTGAACTTTACTTATTTGTTCTATTGCTGTTCTTCAATTACCAGTGAGGTTGAATATTTTTGCCATGTGTCGTTAGCCATCTACATTTCTTCTTCTGCTCATAGCCTTCATGTAGCGACAATTTTGATGTTCATTTGAGACCAGGAAGCCAAAGACTCACGGAGCACAAAGCCACGCAAGCCTCACGCCGAGGAAATAGACAGACATCCTAGTGTATATTACCCCTGATGGAAGCGCCAGGTTGCTACGGTAAAACACATCTAGACGTCTCCCATCCTGCCCCAAATCAGAGATACAACTGATGCTCCCTTGCCCCTAATGGCAAGTCTATCCTAGCCTGAGCGTCCCTGTTTGAGTACAAGCAAATCTATCCCTCCCAGACTCTTCTGAAAGGTGACAGTCCTACAATGGTGTCTACAACTTAGCAAAGGCCAAATTCACCTTCAGATTTTTTATAGCAGTAACTGTCTTCCCCAGGCCCCAAAGGAACAGAAGGGAGGAAGGCAATAGATAAAAAAATCAGCTGTGGCTAAGATTCAGAAGCGACAAAGGAACAGTACTAGCAACAAAGGTTTGTGGTACTGAGGGATGGCCCAGGGTAGAAAAATGAGGTGCAGTGATTTACACAGGGACCAAGGTTAACTGAGGCCACCTGGTGGTAAGAGCATGAATCTACATGCCTTTAAAAAAACAGGGACTACAAATGGTGCACGACTTAGGACGTTTGACTTTACAATGGTGCGAAAGCGATATGCATTCAGTAAAAACTGTACTTTAAATTTTGAATTTTGGTCTTTTGGCAGAATAGTCATATGCAGTACTACTGGGCAGCGGCAGTGAGCTGCAACACCAGTCAGCCACGTGATCACAGGGGCAAACAACTGATATTCTGCCGTGTACCCCTTCGCCAGATGATCTCGCCTAGCTGTCCTGAGCACATTTAAGGTAGGTTAGGCTAAGCTATGATGCTCGGCAGGTTAGGAGCATCAGACGCGTTTTCAATTTGCGGTATGTTCAACTTATGATGGATTTTTCAGGACGTAACCCCACTGTAAGTTGAGGAGTATCCGTGCTCATACACATACACATTTTTTCCTGAAACTCTGACAGTAAGCTATAGACGTTGTGCCCCTTTACTCCTAAATACTTCTGGGTGTATTTCCCAACACATACATTTTCTAACATAACCAATAGCACAATTATCAAAATCAGGACATTTAACTTTTTATAATACTAAGATTTAATTTACAGACGTTTTTCACATTTTGCAAATTGTCCTATCAATGCCCATCATAGCAAAAAAAAGGAAAGAAAAAAAATTTGTTCTGCTCGAGGCCCCAATCTAGGATCATATGTGATATTTAGTACTCTTTTGAAGCAGGGCGTCATGGCTCAGGCCTGTAATCCCAGCTCTTTGGACGGCCGAGGCAGGTGGATCACTTGAGGTGAGGAGTTTGAGACCAGCCTGAGCAACATGGCAAAACCCTGTCTCTACCAAAAATACAAAAATTAGCTGGGCATGGTGGGGCACAACAGTAGTCCCAGCTACTCAGGAGGCTGAGGCATGAGAATTGTTTGAACCCAGGAGGCGGAGGTTACAGTGAGCTGAGACTGCACTCCAGCCTGGGTGATGGAGCAAGACTCTCAAAAAAAAAAAAAAAACTCTTATTTTGAAGTTTCCAATCTATAGCAAAATTGAAATAGAATAATAGATACTGTATACTCTTCTACTCTTCACCAATTGTTATCATTTTGCCACATTTGCTTTCTGTTCTATGTGTCTATAGAATCACTACCCAAGAGAACTTCCATGATGACGAACATGTTCCATTTTCAGTGCTGCCCAAAACATTGCATGAGACACACGTGGCTACTGACACTTGAAATATGGCTAGTGCAAATAAGGATATGATTTTTAATTGCTCTATAATTGTAATTTAAGTGTAAATAGTTCTATGTGGCTTCAGTGACTATTCTATTGGACACCACAGGTTATAGATAAATGCCATCTATGTCTTTGTGTGTGTGTGTGTGTGTGTCCACACTTTTTTCCCTTGGTAAAACCATTTAAAAGTAAGTTGTAGACCGGCTGGAGTGCAGTGGCACGATCACGGCTCACTGCAGCCTCGACCTCCCCAGCTGAAGCGATCCTCCCACCTCAGCTTCCTGAGTAGCTGGGACTACCAGCGCGCACCACCACACCTGGCTAACTTTTTAATTTTTTTTGTAGAGACGGAGTTTCACCCCATTGGCCAGGCTGATCTTGAACTCCTGGCTCAAGGAATCTGCCTGGACTCAAGCGATCCACCCGCCAGAGCTTCCCAAAGTGCGGGCATCACAAACATGAGCCACTGCCCAGTCCCCAGACATATTTTTAAAGCTATTTTTCCCCCAATTCAGCATCTAATCAATATATACAAATTGCCTGTGGCTACTATCTCCTTAATCTTTTAAAGTCTAGAGCATCCTCCCGTCTTTTCCATGGCAATGATTTTTGTTTGCTTAACTTTTTGGGTTTTTTCTTTTATAATCCCAGCAGCTTTGCCAAGGCAACAATGATTTTTAAAGACTTCCACCAGCTGTTTTAAAGAATGCACCAAATTCTACATTTTTCTGATTGTGAAACTGCCTCTGCAAATTCTACATTTTTCTGATTGTGAAACTGCCTCTGCAAAATTATGAGAAAGAAATCAGACATAGTTGGATCCATCTTACTTCTGATGTCTAAGCTGTCCTTGGTCATTCCTGGGCAAGGGCCAAGCTAATTTTGGGAGAAATTTAGTTTATAGTTTCTTTTTTTTTTTTTTTTTTTTTTTTTGAGACAGGATCTCCCTCTGCCGCCCAGGCTGGAGTGCAGTGGTGCAATCTCATCTCACTGAAGCCTCCACCTCTGGGACTCAAGCGATCTTCCCACCTCAGCCTCTCAAGTAGCTAGGACTACAGGTGTCAGCCACCATGCCTGGCTCATATTTGTATTTTTTGTAGAGACAGGGTTTCCATGTTGCCCAGACTGGTCTCAAACTTTAAGCTTGAGCTCAAAACCATCCACCCACTTCAGCCTCCCAAAGTACTGGGATTACAGGCATGAGCCACCACACCCAGCCTACAGATTAATCTTAAAGCAAGGATAGCTAGGCATGGTGGCTTACGCCTATAATGCCAGAACTTTGAGAGGCCAAGGCAGACAGATCACTTGAGACCAAGAGTTCGAAACCAGTCTGGCCAACTTGGTGAAATCCCATCTCTACTACAAACACAAAACTTAGCTGGGCGTGGTGGTGCACACCTGTAGTCCCAGCTACTCGGGAGGCTGAAATACGAGAATCGCTTGATCCCAGGAGGCAGAAGGTGCAGTAAGCTGAGATTGCGCCAATGCACTCCAGCCTGGGTGACAGAGAAAGACCCTGTCTCAAAAAACAAAACAAAAAAAAGCAAGGATAATAACAGCCCTTCCCAAAACTAAACCACCTTTGTAAAATTAATCAATAGCCACAAAGTTAGGATTATGGGAGGGGCTTGAATTCTAATAAGAGGTAGGTACAGTTTTTATAATCCCTTACTGCTCAGGAGTCATGTAGCCAGAGGTCACAAGATTTGTGACTTCCCCAATTGCTCCCATAGATAACATCGCTATTGCAGAACCTCAGGTTGGTCTTTTGAG